GACAAAGATTCTCACCACTGGACCAATTGGCAGCATCAGGATGGATGGTGAAGAGATTGAGATTGTTCACAGCTTTAGTTTGCTTGGCTCCACAGTCAATACTCTTGGCACCAGTAGCCAGGAAATTCAAAGACGTATTATGATGGGAAAGTCTGTTGTTAGGGACCTCTCCAAAGTACTGAAGAGCAATGGTGTCACTCTGGAGACTAAGGTGCATCTGATAGAGGCCATGGTCTTCGCAATCACTTATTACACGCCAGAGAGTTGGACAATGACTAGGGAGAATAGAAGGAGAATTGATGCCTTTGAGCTATGGTGCTGGAGAAGAGTACTGAATGTACATACCCATGGACTGCTAAGAAAACAAACAAGTTCTTCCTGGAGAGAGTTAAACCGGGCTGCTCCTTGGAGGCAAGGATTCTGAGGCTTTGTCTGACATACTCTGGACAAGTTGTAAGAAGGAACCAGTCCTTAGAGAGGGACATCATGTTTGGGAGGATGGAGGGACAGTGCAGGAGGGGAAGACCCTCTGTGAGGTAGACTGACTCAGTGATTGGATAATCAGGGTGAGTGTGTTAGAAATGGTGCGATTGGCACAGGACAGAGCAGGGTTTAGGGCTGTTGTCCACAGGGGTGCTATGTACAAGCGACACGACGGCACAGAACAACTACAACAACAGCAGATGACATTTCAGAGAAAAAGGAGAGATTTAAGAATAGTGAAGTCTGGAACAAGGGCTCAATATTGACAAGACTCTTCCTTCAAGTCAAATCTATATAAATAACTTTAAAACCTCTTTTCCACACATATTATTTTTTTAAAATCCCACTATGATTACTTCTCCACAATTCCTTTTGGTTTTCAAAGAGTTATTATCTCAAAATTTAGATTTTAAGGGAAAGTTGTCCTGAAACTGTACCTGTCTCTTGCCAATGTCCCCTAAATGCATATTTAATAAAAACAACTTACTTATTGTCATTAATAAAGTCCAGAATCTCTTGTTCCAATTTTAGCAGCATCATTCTGTCCCTGTTTAAAAAGATCAAAACAAAACAAAAAGAAGCTCTTTCATAATATTCAAAACAGGAGATGAAAATGTAACTTACTCACTACAAAAGAGCAAGGGAGGGATATACCCAAACCCCAACAGCAGATTCCAAAACACACAAAGACAACTCAGTTTTATAGGCAGTCATATGGTGTTTTGAAAAAGAAACCCCCTAAAACTAACCTATGCATACATTTTGCAGTTTCTTCCTAATCATGCACCTTTGTTTTTATATGAGAAATCTAATTCTGTTGACAACCATAATGATATAGCTCAACTGTATACACCTAATCATTTTTAGAATTTTAAGAAAGTTGTTATTTAGCTTATGTACAAACCATAAAAAAACCATATTTTTCCTTTTTTTTTTAAAATCAGTTGATTTCTAAGACTTCCCATTTCTCTGTCCCTGCTTTCTTTTCCACAGAATTTCCTTAACTTCACCAAAAGCACGAACTTTAATCTGAGGTCCAATGAGATGATGACAAGGGAAAGCATTCTAGATTCTACTAATAAAAAGATCTTGGGAAGCTGATTGGCCTCTTGGGTAACTCAATGGCTTCTGGCCCTTCCCTTCTTCTATCAAATCATATTATTACCTTGGATTCTTTTTCAGTGTATTTACAAGGAATTCATGTAGGTCTATTCCAGTGGAGTCCGTATACTCTTGGCTGGAGTCTAGAACCACCAAAATGAGAAAAATTTAAGATAAATGAAACTGCCTTGCAAGGAGAAGTCTAAAACCTCAGAGAAAAGGAAAGTGGAATCAAACTTCAAGGGATTCATGTAATGGCACTAAAACCTAGAATGATCATGATGTCAGTCCCTAATGTTTCCTATGACAATGACAAAATGAGGAATATTGTATCAGTACTACACCAAAAACCTACGTTACCATCAAATATTTAAAAAATGCCTCGACAAAAAGAAAGTAGGTTCAGAGGCACAGGAGAAGATTGCCAATCTTTCTCCCACGGAGCAGCTGATGGATTAGAACCACATGCCTTTGGGTCTGAAGCACAGCTTCTTAATCACTAGACCACCAGAACTCCCTGGTTTTATAGTAGAGTAAAGGAAAATAAACTCCAGGAAAGGTGGTCAAGTTGAACTCTCCAGAATTTCACCAAATAAGCTCAAATGTTAATTTCTTACAGGTCATTAATGAACTTTTTTTTCCATTAATGCACTCTGTGAATGATTTACTTCAATTTTTAATACCAATGCTGCCTTTTTGCTGCCAACTATCATTTTTATGGACAATGTTTTTTCCCCCCTTGATCACAAGAATTTAAAACCAAAGAGAACCTAATAAATCAAGGTAAATGTGCATTTTTAATTGAGATTTTATTATAAGTTTATAAAGAACTTGAATTTCCTTTCATTCATTGTTGCACATTTTCCTCCCTGTTCCCCTCCACCCCACCCCAGTTCACTTTTTTCTTTGGGAAAAAGTTCTGTCATTGTTATACATTATACAGCTCCCCTTTCCTCCAACCACTTTACTATGCAGCTCTTATTCTGGACTCTTGTCATACCAATTATACCTAATCATATATTCCTTCTATACAGTTCTCTCCCTCATCTGTTGCAATGCCATGTACATTATTTATTCCCTCTTTTCTTAGTTTCCCTCCAACCCTGATGATAGTCCTGTTTTACAACAGTGGCACTATGCAGTATTTGTCTTTTTGTGACTGATATATTTCACTCAGCATAATGTCCTCCAGGGTCACCCATCTTGTATAATATTTCATGAGTTCTTTGCTTTTCAATGCAGCATAGTATTCCACTGTATGAATATACCATAGCTTCTCTATCCATTCTTTTGTTGATGGGCACTTGGGTTGTTTCCAATTCTTTGCCATTGTGAAAAAAGCTGCAATAAACATGAGTGTTCATATATCTGCTTGAGTGGCAGTTCTGGTTTCTTTAGGGTATATTCCCAGTAGTGGAATTGCTGGGTCAAATGGTATTTCTATTTCCAACTTTTTTTTTTAATTAATTTTAAGGAATGTTTACAGAGGTTTTGGATTTCCATTCATTCATTGTTACATTTTATTTCCAACTTTTTAAGAAAGTGCCATACTGCCTTCCATAGTGGCTGCACCATTTTACACTTCCACAAACAGTAAATAAGGGTTCCAGTTTCTCCATAACCTCGCCAAAATTTGTTTGCTGCTCTGTTGAATTTTGCCATTCATACTGGGGTTACATGAGATCTCATAGTTGTTTTAAAGTGCATTATTTTTAAAAATACCACTCTAGGTATCCGAAAACCAAAATATAAATGTTATTTGGAGGATCTTCTACCAGTAATTATGGATGTTACTATTTATACTGGAAGTATACATAAAATTAGAGTTGACTAAATTGTACTCCTATGAGTACATACAGACCAATGCCGTTGAGTAATTCTCTATGACATGTGAGTTCCTAAGGCCAAGTTAATTAAAGTAACACGAAAGGTAACCTAGTTAGGCCCCTCCCCAAGCAACCATGTAGTAAGCTGTTGGACCAATAATGCTAATGGGAATCAGCCTTCATGACAGACTATAAGGGCATTGCAGAGCCAGGTACTGGGACAAATAAAAGAGAGGTAAAATCCTTACCTCTGGACAGCATCTTCCTTGGGATCTTTTCCTTATTTTTTTCTTTGTCTTCCTTTTCAGAGACATCTTTTGTGGACTTTTCCTCCTCCTTGTCAGAAGGGCAACTGATATGCAACTGAATTATATCCTTGGACGGGGGAAAGAAAAATATATGAAAAAGAGGAAAAAAGACTTTAACTCCCAACTGTAGCTTTCTTGTAATATCAAAGTAGGCAAACCTTGGGGCGGCAGTTTTCTCTTTTATTGTTGTTATGTGCTGTTGAGTCAGAACCAATTCATATCTGACCCTCCAGCATGTTTTTTGAGACTATGAATTGCACAGGAGGAAACTACTCATCTTTCTCCCGTGAAAAAGCTAGTGGATTTGAAACTCCTGCTTTTGGATTACTTTTTTTTTCCCCCAAAAGATTTATTCAATCTGAAGAGAAACAAGAGTATTGGGGTTACTTCTTATCCACTAGATCTCTAGTGCTCTCTTCTCTTACAGGAGAGTGTAACTTTATTACTTAAATTGTTTTTAATTCTATCAAAGTGCTGTTACCTTAGATGCAGTCCAGTCACCTCCAACTCCCAAAGACCATATGTACAACAGCTCTGAAGCCTACCTTATCATGAGCTAGTTTCACTGACTCTGACAAATATAATCCCATCATCCCAGTTATTGTGTCAATCCATCTCATGCATGTCTTCCTCTCCTGTGCTGTTCTTCCACCCTTCCAATAATGATGTCCTTCTCCAAGGACTGGTCCCTCCTGACCACATGCTCCAAGTATGTGGAATGAAGCTTCAAAATCCTTGCCTCCAAGGAAAAACTTAGTTTTACCCCCTCCAAGTTAGATCTATTTGTCCTCCTGGCCGTATATAGTATATTCAATCCTCTTCTCCAGCACCACAATTAAAAAGCAGCTATTCTTCCTTAGTCATTGTCTAGCTCTCTGAAGCACAGCATGTAACTGTAAGGACAATGGCCTGGATCAGGCACACCTTAGTCTCTAGACTGACATCATTACTCCTCAGCACTCTGGAGAGGTCCCTGACTGCAGACTTCCCCAATGCAATTCACTTTTGATTTCCTGAATGCTGGTGCCAAGAGTGTTGATTGTGAAGCCAAGGAAGATGAAATTATTAACAACCTCAATCTTCTCCATCCATCATGGTGCTACCAATTAGATTAGTGGTGAGAATCTTTGTCTTCTATTTGATGTTGAACTTCAATCCATTTGGAAGACTATAGTCCTTGAACTTCTGCAACAAGCACTTCAGGTTCTTTTCAGTTTCCTCACACAAAGTTGTATCATCTGTATAGTGAAGATTGTTGACGAGTCTTCCTCCAATCGTGATGCCACACTCCTCTTCATAAAGTTCAGTCTTTCAAATGTTCTGTTTCACATATAGACTGAAAAGGTATGGAGGCTGTCTTTTCTGCTAGCAATGGCAGCCACTTGGAGTGTTCAAGTTAAACTTGTTCTTGGTGCAAGAATTAGACACAATTGGTTTTAACTACTGAAGAGGATGACAGTGAATAAAGAAAAGGACCTAAATCTGGGATCCTTTTGTTTGCATCTTCCTGGATGGTCCAGCTGTGAAGATCTATACTTCATGATCTGATCTATGTCTTAATTTAGGTTTTGTTTTGAAGTTTCTCTGATTTCCATGCTTTATATTAGATGATAGGGTATCAAGGGTATCATCCAGGAAGAGTACAAACGGTCATTGCAAAGACAGAAGAGGAAGCGAAGACCAAAAAGGATGTCAGAAGAGACTCTGAAAATTGCACTGGAGCACAGAGAAGCCAAAGCACAAGGAAGAATTCAAGATACTAAAGAGTTGAATAGAAGATTTCAAAAGGCAGCACGAGATGACAAAGCAAAATATTACAATGAAATGTGCAAGGAGTTGGAGTCGGAAAATCAAAAGGGCCGAATTTGCTCAGTATTTCTTAAGCTCAAGGAACTGAAGAACAAATTCAAACCTCGAGTTGCTATAATCAAGGATGCTTTCAGCAGAATGTTAAATGATCCAGGAAGTATTAAAAGAAGATAGGCCCAATCACTGAGCCGCGGCCGAGGACTCAGCTGCCTCCCCCTCCAGCCCCCTTGCTTCCCAACACTCCGTCCCCCCTGCCCGCCTTCTCCCGCCACCACCTTCAGCAGGCTGTTTCCATGGAGGAAAAGGAATTGTATCGTATGTCCGCTATCCAGAACTTCCACTCTTTCAACCTCTTTGCTGATGCAAGTAAGGGTGATGACCTGCTTCCTGCTGGGACTGAGGATTATATCCATATAAGAATTCAACAGAGAAACGGCAGGAAGACCCTTACAACTGTCCAAGGGATCGCTAATGATTACGATAAAAAGAAACTAGTGGGGGGTGGGGAAGAAACTAGTGAAGGCGTTTAAGAAGTTTGCCTGCAATGGTACTGTAATTGAGCATCCAGAATATGGAGAAGTAATTCAGCTACAGGGTGACCAGACAAGAACATGTGCCAGTTCCTTGTAGAGGTTGGACTGGTTAAGGACGACCAGCTGAAGGTTCACGGGTTTTAAGTGCTTGTGGCTCACTGAAACTTAAGTGAGGATTTCCTTGCAATGAGTAGAAAATTTCCCTTCTGTCCCTTGTCACAAGGTTAAAACTTCACAGCTTGTATAATGTAACCATTTGGGGTCCACTTTTAACTTGGACTAGTGTAACACTTTCATGCAATAAACTGAAAAGAGCCATGTAAAAAAAAAAAGGATTATCGAAAGAATATACAGAGCTACTGTATCGAAAGGAATTGGCAGACACAGAAGAATTTCATGAAACAACATATGAGTAAGAGCCTATGGTGATGAAAGAAGTAGTTCAGGCTGCTTTGAAGGAAATGGCAAAAAATAAGGCCCCAGGAATAGATGGTATACCAAATGACATATTTCAGTTAACAGATGCTGCCCTGGAC